TCTTCTCGCTGCTGGGCTTCGCGCAGGGCCTGGTGTGGAACACCTGGGGCCCAATCCAGAACTCGGCCCGCCGCGCCTTCGGCTTCGGCGGCTGGGACATCGCGCTGCTCGTCTTCTGGGGGCCCATCGGCTTCCTGCCCTGCTTCGCCTTCATGTGGCTCCTGGACAAGAAGGGTGAGGGCCTGCTACTGCCATGCTGCTGATGCCTCTCATGAAGCTTTCTGAGCCTAAAAAGAGGGGAGAACCAAACAAAAAAACCCTCAAACGCCTTGTCCTAGGGATAGACATGACGAGTCCGTGTGCACCCGCGAGAGCGAGGGGCTTCAGGGCGGGGGCGAGGCACGTGCTTCTTCACCCCTTCCCCTCGGGTGCTGCCTCAAGGGTCAAAAAAGCCGACAGTGTCCGGGGGTGGTGATGCTTCCTGTTTGGTTGCGGTGCAACAGAGCATCTGTGCCCCTGAGGGGGATGTCGCGGACGGCGCGAGAGTTGCCGCGCCCCTCCATAAAGTTGCGGGGTCTGCGTGGAAATGGTTTGGGGGCTGAATGTTTTGTGAGGAGAGGCAGAGGGGTTTGGCTTGATTGAGTGTGGGGGAAGGGAAGACCCAGGGGGTTGGATTGTGGTAGCGGCATGGTGGGTCTAGGGAGGATGGAGATCAGAGGTGGGGGCCCAAAGGGTGCTGGGGAAGAAGGTTGTTGCATGAAATGTTTCAAACTTTCCGCAGGTCGGTTGTCTTGGGCTCTTGCCCCTCTAAAAAGAAAAGTTGGCGCCTGTGATGGAGCTGGGCTGTTCTCAGTGGGGCCAAGATGATGGAGCAAAGAGCAACGGTGTCAAGCTGGATATTAGGACAGACTTTCTCACTAGAAGGGTAGTAAAGGACTGGAACAGGTGACCTAGAGAGGTGGTGGCATCTCCGTCCTCGGAGGTTTTTAAGACTTGGCTAGACAAAGCCCTGGCTGGGGTGATGTAGTTGGGGATGGTCCTGTTTTGTGCAGCTGGCTGGATTAGATGCGACCTGAGGTCCCTCCCAAGTGTGGGTTGTTTTTTTTTGTTGTTGTTTTGTTGTTGTTGTTTTGTTTTGTTTTGTTTTTTGATGACTGTGAATACAGTGCACAGTTCTGGTCCCCACCACTCACAGAGGATATAGAAGAACTAGAGAAAAGCAATGGCTAGTTGGTTAACGGTTAGTCGTACAGAGGGGCTTCCATAGGCAGAGAGACTGAAGAGGCTAGGCCTATTCAGTTTACAAAAGAGGCGCTTGAGGAGGGACATGATAAGGTTTTACAAAATAGCAAAGAAACAATAAATAGGGATTTATTATTGACTGTCACAAGACAAGAGCTAGGGGTCACAAAATGAAACTAGTAGGTAATCAGTTGAAAACTAACACAAGGAAGTTTTTTTGCACAATTTGTCATAGGCATGGAACTTGTTGCCACCAGATGTGGGAGCTGACAGTGTAGCTGCATTCAAAAAGGGGTCAGACAATTTTTTGGAAGAAAGGAGTATTGGTAGTTTTTGAGCATGGAGGTTAGGGATATAGCTTCTGAATTAGACCTTCTTAGACCTTAAATGCTGGAGACTGCAAAGGAGAAAGAAACAGCGGGGGGAAAAAACCCTGGTCATGCCCAGTTCACTTTCTTTTTCAGCATCCGCTCTTTGCCACAGTGTAACACAGGTCTGTTTGATGTTAACATGGGCTTGACACTGAGCAGAGTGCACCAAACTGTGTGACACAGGCCACTGGGCGGACCTCTGGTCTGACGCAGTAAATGGCAGTTCTCATGTTCTTAACTCCTCAGCTGTCCACATTAGGCTGTCTGTGCATGGGCTGCAAAACAGTCCTGTTGGAGTTGGGAATCAAGCAGGCAAATGTTGGTTATGGTAGTCAGAAGGATACAGGGCAGCTGTAATCCCTTGACATGCTTGATCCATGGGGGAGTGGGGAGAATGGACTGGATGTCAAGTTGCTGTGTTCTTAACCAGCTTTTAAAAAATTAATCTTGAAACTGCTTTTTTGATTTGAGGAGGGACTGTTTCTTTTTCTTATCTGTATTTAAACCAGTACTTTTATAATGATGTACATCCTGTACTAGGCTTAGAGTTCATGCAAGGCCTATGAGCACTCCTGTTGAAGTGAATGGTGCCTGCTCATGGATGAAGTTAAGCATGTGTGTACATTCAGGATTGGGGCCTTAGTTTGTACGCCATTTATTTCTCCTATGAATTAGTTGCTCATTTCAATGGGGAAAAAAGAAAACACAGCGTAACTTGAAAAAGTGCATGTGCTCTAACATGCACTACTTACTAACGTGTGAGGTGGATATCAAGAAGTGCTATTTGCAGCCATTATCCTTCTCCCAAACACTTCAGTTTTAAGTGAAGAATTTCAGACTTTTGTGCCATTATCGGTACATTATCCTACAATTAACCTGTAGGTTGCAGTTTTGTAAGAGATTTAATCTTCTACAAACCAAGAGCTATGTGAACTAGTTTGCTGGTAGAGTCAAGTCCTGCGATCTTTGCTGTCACAAGTTTCTGGAAAATGCAGAACTTGTTGGACAAACTGTTGGAAAACCTCAGATGAAGCAGAAATGGATCAGAATAATGTGGTGGCTGGGTTCTGACTTTGTGCTTTTTCTTTTCTTTCTTTTTTTTTAAAGAAAATGCTGGAACTCTGTTTATTTGCAGTTTTCAAAATTCTTAGGGCTTTACTTTCGAGTTTATAAATTCTTGAGAATCCATAAACTTGTTCAGTCCGGTGATACTAGTTGTTGGGAACTTTTAAGGCCTTGTGGTACTTCCATTCAGAGCAGGGTTGCATCCCTAAAAGATAAAACAAGTAGTTGCACTGACTTTTTATTGTATGGACCAACAAACATACAGGAATTGCAGCATTTATTCTTATATTTACCTTTAGTGGCTGTCTCTGGTGGAGAAACTGATAGAAAATTTTGTATTTGTCAAATGGTAGCAACTAAGATCTGATGTATGAAAATGATGACACCTTTGTTGCATATCAGAACTTGGGAGAGAGCAAAAAATCTCTGCATTCTGCCTTCAGAAAGTTGTAGACTTCTCTGAATGCCAGTGGGCCATGGTTTGGTTTTAGTGTGTCTGGTTGTAGTGATTTTAATCTTTTGGTTCATGGTGATTCAGTGTTTGTCTTGAAAAGTTACTGTATTATTTTAAAAGCTTAAAACTTAAATTAGTTTCCTTGTCCAACTTGTTTCCTCTTTTCCATGTGAAAGCTTGTTTGTTGTTAGTTCTACTTGTGAACATCTGGCCGCTCACACTTGTTTCCTTGTCTTTTAATGAACATGCAGTTGAAACGATTGGTTACTCAGCAATAGGTGACATGGTTGGAAGCAGCAATTTGGGATGTGACGTATGGGCAGGCTGGAAAAGGGGTATGTTATCCCATGTTTGGCCCCTTGGAGAAGTGCAGGCATTGGTGCAACAGCACTGGACAGGTGGCAACCTGTCCCTTGGGGGCTCCGCAGAACTCCAGGAACGGGGAATAATAGCCCAGCTGCTGTGAAGCCAGAGCAGAAGGACAGCCTCTATGTCCATGGGTTTGACCTCTAGATCCCCAGTGATTTCCCAGGTTGAGAGTGGACCCTAGCTCCTGTTTCCTATTAGAATTGGTAGTAAACCCTGCCCCTCAAACTAGAATGCATGACATTTCCACAAAAGCGAGACTATTGGGAATTCCTACTCCAGCAAGAGGAAGATTATCCAACAGCATGCACCATTAGGCCTTTTTCAAAATACATGATACTTCTGTGGGCTGTATCATGAGACAACATAGTGGATTCAGATCCAGCTGGCTGCCGTCTAGGCCTTGTGACATGGAGATGAGGTTTCTTTGTGTGTGTTTGTTTTGCTGCATATTGCCGAAGCAAATGACATTTAATATGTTTTTGTTTCCACCTCCAAGCTAACAACCGCAACAGGCTGCCTTTTCTATGGCAGAACCTGTTTGCAGAAAATTACAGACTTGCCAAAAAAAAGTGTTAGTCAAGGATCACTTGAAATGGCTGGAAATCATTCTTTTATAGAGGCATTGAGGGTTTTTTTCCCTAATCTAATATAATTTCATCAAATACTTTTCCTTGTGGGATACAACTCAGGGATTTATTTGACAGGAAAGTTCAGACTGGGTTTTGGCCAACATTATCTTCAATTTTTAGGATATCAGTTTTAAGTAATTCTGCTTATGTTCCTCAAGAATCCAAACGCCAGAGTAGGTGAAAGACTTCCACTGGTTTCAGTCAATGCTGGATTCTCTTATTGTTTGAATATTTCATGATACCTTATGGATGGCGTTCCGTCCTGTGATTGTCATGTCTGGTCAGAAACCACTTCCCTTGGAGATAGGTGCACAACCACTTGTAGGTACTTCCTTTCCACAGAAATCAAAATAGGAGTTGCGTACCTGAATGCCTCCTTGGGGCTAGTTCTCAGATTTCATGAACTAAAGAGTAGTAAATCTCAGAAGCAATATGCAGTATCAATCTACATAATGCACAAGATATAAATGGAAGGACTGATTTGCAATAAAATGGCTGCTTCTACTTTACATTAAATAACATGAAATCAAATATTGATGGAAAACTGGAATATCTTGAAATTGTCTTCTGAGAACAGTGTTGGCCACCCCCATCTTGCAATGAGTTTAGCAGTAGGAAGAATTTTTAGCAAGTTCACACTGGATATAAAATGTTATCTTTGTCTTGTGCATTTTTTTTTTTAAACAAAACTTGTTTTTTAAAATTATGAATGCTCGCAGGGGCCGTGTAAACAGTTTATTCTCTGGAATTTGCTAAAATCAAACTTATGCTAGCATTACTGTCTTAATAAATTGTGAAGGGGGAGAGAGATCTTGGTAATCAAATGGATTTCAGTTTTTAGGTTCCAAGGGTGGCTTATGTAATGAAACTATGGATGTTGTCATTCCTGTAACTAGCTATTAATTTCTGAATACTAAGCCTTTGGCTTCAGTACTGTCATATGAGTCACTTAATGCCTTTGTCTTGGCCCATGGCTCAGGCCTATAGTAATACAAAAAGGCATTGTATTCTACTGGACTGTAAACCTCAGGTCTAGGTTCTGTTGTAGTACAAATAATAATAATAAAACATGGAAAGATGTTGCTGACAAAACAAAATATTTCC